GTGATGACGTTCGAATATTTGTCAAGATTCGCAGGCCTTCCCAGAAAATTCTGTGGTGACATTGAGGGAATACCGGGATTGAACAAGGACGTGTCGCGTCTGTGGCGTGGAAATGATATCACATGACCGTAATGGGGTTGTCTGGTTCGTGTCGTCTTTTTCCATCGCGACCTATACATTCCAACTTGTCACCAAAGCCTCGTGTAAAGTGGTAATGGTGACCTGCTACTACTGTAACCACAACTTCCCGAAGGATAGGATGAAGCGTTGTGCACGGTGTCGGTGAGTCGGTCGTCCTCTCTCGATGGCATGTTTGCTCACTTGCCGTCACTTGAAAGTCTCGTAGCCATATTGCGTCAGTCATCGAGTTATACCGTTAGAGCCGTCTACTCACCAATCATATCTGCAGTCAAAAGAATGCCAAACGTTCTCATGGAAAGCGAGCCATAAACATAGCTGCAAAATCCACCCATCGCTTGTCGACCCAAATGACCCCACAAAGGCACTTTCAAAGGCGAATCCAGGCTACCCAGAGAAATATAGCGATGCTTGGTGGGACCTTGAGATTGACAAATCCCTTTCCTCAGTGGATGCAGCTCTGGCGACACTTTACAGCTGTGGACATTGATGGCACTCGATCTGCCGAACCACCCACCGAATAGAGTCGTGACGCACTGGTCAGTCTGAAATCCCCTCGCATTCTCACTTTTTCTCACTCAAATTCATTTGTCAATTGCTTCAGCATGAAGTTGACCATCGAACCGCGCCATTGGCAAGATGATGTATCCCGCTAAACAATATACGGTCGGTCCCCCGTATTCATAGATCCTCTCCTTATCCATAGGTACCTTCTCCTTAGATCGTCGACGGAGTTATCGTACCCTTTGCCGACATTCTGGATAGTAATCCGGATCTCAGAACAACGGTCATGGATCCCAATGATTTTACGCGCGTCCGCTTCGTCGTCATATTGCAGAACTCCGAGGGAGAACCACGCAGGCTGCGTCTCCGTCAATGGAATGATCTCGGTGTTGAAAAATGGCGCAACATTCCCAAGAATGAGAGCATAGAGTTGCAGGCTGGGTGGTTGGATGTTGTCAAGTACTCCATCGATACAATGAGCCCTAGAGATATAGAGAAGTCTTTCGGTATGAACAGATCATCCCAGAGTTAAGTTGTGTAGTTCGTGTAATATATATATTCTCAATCTCAAAATCGCAAAAAAGTTGGGTGGCAAGTTGAGTGGAACAAGGAATGAGCACATGGAGCGGAATAATTAGATTTGATACATTTGTCACAAGTTAAAGAACAACCCAGCATAAGTCCATCGTCGCCATCCGTTGAAGTGCCTACACCAGTCTTGCCTCTGCTGAGTAAAACGATTCGACCGCCGCGACATAGGGTACCCGTTTTTTCAGTCACGGGTAAAGGTGTAAAGATATGTTTCTGCGATTACTACACTACACGTTTTACCTTCATTGGGACTTTGGCTCCGATTTGGCCCGCTACTTTAGGCCGGGACAAGACGGAACGGTGTTTCTCGATCTTCGTCTCTGGACCGTCGAGCAGCTCAAAAACATAATTCCGTATGAGGACAGACAGTGCCGCCTTTGATTATGAATTCATTCTCTGAACCTTCCAAATGCCTAGCATAGACAAACCTTGAATTCCGCTAGAGCAAAATGACGTCCCAAACATATCCTTGGTCCATCCGAGAAGGTGAGGATGTGGCGATGTCCTTGAAATTGCTTCGCCGGAATATCAGATTCATCAAGCCAGCGCTCTGGTTCGAATTCCTTAGCGTTTGGTCCCCAAAAGGCTGCAGATTGGTTTATTGTACGGATTGGAGCGTTAACGATGGTACCCTTTCGGACAACGATGCTCGAAACTGTTTCTCCTGTAGCGGTCACAACCGGAGTAGACAGTGGGATGATATCGTCTTCGGCTGCCTGATCTACCTTTGAGTCTGAAGAGATAAAAGAACTTAACAACCACCTACAACTCTGTTCGTATCAGTGACAGGAGGATGCAGTCTGAGGACTTCGTGGGCAATAGAATCAAGGTATGGTAGTTCTGAAACGAGTTGTTCCCATGTAGGATCTGCAGTAGAAAACCTGGACAGCTCTTCACGAAGTTTATGCTGTTTCTCAGGCTTCCTCGCAAGTTCGATAAGCGCCCACTGCAAAAAGAGGGTGAATTTCAAGGAGATGGATATTCAATATTCACCGGATCTACCGTTAAACTGACTGAACTTCCGGGTGAGTCAAAACAAAAAATCAGAAAATACAATACTTACTCGACGTAGTTTCATATCCTGCAAGCAACAAAGTATTCTAAGGGAGGTGATGTGAGAGGATAAACGCGGTGATTGAACACCGTGCTAACCATCTACGAGGGCTGTCAGCTATGCAAAAGCTGCTGAAAGAATTTTACTTACTTGAGCCAAAACCTCTTCTTGTGACATTCGCAATTGGGAATTCGTGTTTTCCGCCTTAACTGATGGATTGTTAGAGTGAAATTAACCATCAACGTGCGCTAACCCACTTAACAATCCGATAATAGATTTCTCCTCCATCTTCTCGCCTAATAACCCTTCGCCTTCCTCTCGTGTCCTTTCTAATAGATCATCTGCAATCTTCCTCATGGCATTATGTAGTTCCGCCCACTGTCTATTGTCGCTCGTTGGTATCTTCAAAAGAAACGGTAGAACAGAACCAAGCAAAAAGACAAAGAGAGATAAAGTGCTGGACCCTGTATTCATCGTTTCAAACACATGGACTACGGAGGGTACCTTTCCGTCCAGAGACCCGAAATCGTGACCGAATCCGGCGATTCCTATTGAATCAAGACTGCGAACATTTCAACTGATTAATCATTGAATACAGACGGATGTGATGATCGCTTACGACACATGGTTCATCCTTCGTAAGTCTATTTTAGCCTACCTTCCAACAGAATGTTGTTTTGGCGCACCATTTTTGAACATCGATAATTGCTCCGTCGCCAGAGGAAGACTCCAACATCACATCCCAGTTAGCTTTCAGCTATAATGATAGAGAACGGTCAGAAAGGATGTATATAACCGTCGAAGTCTACCAACCTTGTAAGACGAATCATAGAAAACCGAAGTGAGTCTTCGAATGGCAGAGTTGCTGAATGCAGGGGAGAGCGCTTTACGTTGCCTGAAGAATCAAAGTCAGCGAAGTAAGATTCTCGGAACGATTTCTAGTGCACGAACCTGCGGTGACTCTCTCCTTCAGCCCATAATAGCCCTCGTCCGAACTGGGCACCTCAAAATTACATATCTTGGAGGGAAGAAAAGCGTAAGGGCTTACAAGTTGTTCAATGAACGACTTTGATAGTGAAGTTTTAACATATCCAAAACTTTCCTTCAAATAAAAATGCGAGACAGCTTTGGGATCGACTATAACTATCCTCGTAGATCCCAATGCTCCAGGAACACAGAAGGCCGAGCCATACTCGCTAACCCATTGCTCCGTCAAGAGAGAAGCGTCATCGGACTCCCTTATGACACGAGTGAGGCCAAACAAGAGACTTTGGCTGGGTGGGCCTCTTAGAGGTGTCGTTTGAACTCGACGCCGTCTGGAGAGAAGGTATCTGAGCAATCTTGAGACAAGCCACAAGCTTAAAGAGTATGCGATAACATCAGTAATGCGGAGCTCGAGGGCAGGCGTCATATCGCAGGGTCAGTTCAGGAGTGTGGTATAGAATCGGAAAAAGTGACGTTTTTGAAAGAACCTAGAATTATTCATTCCCACGGGTGGTTATAATTTCACAAGGCTATGATCGTCGACTGACTTCACTGCTCGTAGCAAAGCATCAAAACATTGGAAGACCTGTCCTAGTTACTATCTCAAGCTATATGAATGACGTCCATTTCGAATGGTCTACATGGCGGATTACAAGACAATATATAAACGCAAAGACATACGACGATCCACGGACGGCCCGAAGATGTAATCACCATCCCGTCATCAACGAACCTCTGCACTAATTCAAGAATCCAGTTCCCACCAATACGTCACCCAATCTCTTCCAACTGACGGGAATTCAGCGTTTCAATAACTCAAATGTAACAATGGCCTGTCTCTCGAAGAGTGCCGCGCTGAATCAAAACAACCAGGGATTGAGAATAGAAGAGTTCAGTACCTGCCACAGCACAAGTGAGTTTGAATCCGTGAGGATGTGCTGACAAAGCTAAAATACTACGATTACCTCCGCCTGAAAGGGTCCAGGAGATGGCTGGTTCAGGTAGGAAC